CTTCAATGAACACAGCACCTTGAGCTCGACACACGACTTCTAGGGCGGAGCCATCCGGTTTAGCTCTGACTCGACCGGCGAGAGGATAATAAGGAACCAAAGCTTTAGCTAGTGCATTCTTGATACGAGCCGTGGTGGCACCCGGGTCCAAACCAGGGCGTGCCTTGTAGAGGAATAGATACTCAATAGTAAAACGTAAGAAAAGCTGAGAATCCATAGCTGAAAGAGGCAAAACACGAGTTGGAGTTGGCTCGTTTGGGGTGATAACAATAACTTCTTTGACGTGCACAGAAGCCATGTTTCTGTCTTGTTATTCTGGAGAGAGTTCGGCCTCCCTATATATATACACACACACATATATATACACACATATATATATATACGTGTGTATATATATATATATATATATAAGGATTCAATCACGTTTGTAAAAATAACTTTTGTAGTTAAAATTTAGTAAGAGCTTTATTACCTATATTTAAATAAGGAGCACAGTTTAGTTGCATTATTTGCATTGAGGGTTGCTATTTACTAATACAAGAGAAGCCATGTGTATCTTTTCTGTGTCTAACTGTGAAAGATTTGTGCCAAGATTCTCCGGGCATCACTTTATGGAAAAATTAATATCAAAACAAACGTTAACAGCTTGGATTTGCTTTCTGTCTGTTCGGCGGACTGGTGATAGGCCAATCACATACACAAACTCTCTCTCTCTCTCTCTCTTTCATATACTGTCATATATAACTCCATTTTCATAATTTCTCTAGTCTTTCTCTCTCTCTCTCCTTCTGTTGCCTTTATTTCTTGGTAATTTTTTTTTTTGTTTGTTTTTATTTGTTGATGGACATGGATGCTGATACCTGTCTAGTTAATGTCCTCACTGCAATATTTATATCAAAACAAAGAGAATTATATAAACATATAAATCTGTAGTTTTTTGGGACACGGGTGGACCCAAATATAACATCATAGATTTGGAACGGGATTTTAAGAAGATGCAGAACACAGCTTTAATTTTGAGCTTTGAAATAAGATAATATACCATGTGAAAAGAGCCGATGACACATGTTTGTCTATCAGTTGAGTGATATCGAGTTTCTTCTAAGTTGAATTACATATTATTATAATATGACCATGGAATCGTATCTTGATTCGAAATATACTTTGATTTCTAGTTTGGATAAAATAATGTCCAACCAAAAAATCACATCTAACTTTATATTAAGAAAAATATTATCCATGTTTTAATCTATTTACATGTCACACATCACAGAGCTAGGTTAAATTTAGTAAATGGATTCTTTTATTCTGCAATAGAGTAACTAAATTGATATTGACCTGCAGGTATATTAATAAAGAATGTGCTTAATTAAGAAGAGCTTAGGGGGGGCATCAAATAACAACTGATGCTTGAGGAACAGTTATGCCTGTCGGATCATGGAGCCCATTAATATCAAATGGTGATAGCTCTGTCAGATTAAAGCATCCATACGTCTTATAAAACAATAAACTTTTGGGAATTCGGTGTGCCCACTTACCATTTTGTTTCTAGCAATCGACTACTACTGAGAATTTTTATTTTTTTCTTATCATATCGTATCAAACTCCAAGAATATTTATTATGCTACCTAGATGATTTTATGATTATCCCTTTAATTTATCAGTACTTCGTGTCTATCTAAGTCTTTGCAAACAATGATACCAAACAAAAATAAACCTAGGATTCTATCTAACTCTAAAGTATTAGAAACAAAAATGCTGATTATTCTTCAAAATTTAGTATAAAGTAATTGTTAAGGGCTAACATATGTTGACGTCATCGAACACTAATCAGAATCCAGAAAAGCATTCTACCGTTTAGAACATGACACATCTCTATAGGCAAAAAGAATATAATTGTCACAGACCTAAATCGACTCAAGAATTTATGCCTAAGTGAATTTGATTCGCACACCTATTCAAGCCCCATTTAATTTAAGGATATTCTTTGAATTTACACTTGTAACTTCATAGACAAATGTTCGCACACAGTACCTTACCTATTCATTATAATAACCTCTTGTGTAACTTTATAGCATTTTACACGTACGAAATCGTTGATGTCAAAATCAAGCACCAACAATAATGTTTCTCAGTTAGATTTACAGGTTCAAAAGTAATTATAGAGATGATGTATGGAGAACTTGAAGACAATCAAATAAATGTTATTTGAAAAAGGGGAAAGCAAATCGTTTAGGAGGGGTTAGGTGGATTCTATCCTAACATTAAAATTGAAGGGATAGCTAGCTTTTGCATAATTGACTCTTTGTTGTTGGTTTAGGAAGAAGGAATTGTCTGGTATATAGAAAAGAAAGTGGTATCCTAGTTTATATTTTGCCGAAATAGGGTGATGGGGGTTGGCCCCTAGTGCTAAGCACAATCAAGGCACTGAATTTTCCCTTTATTCCTCCCTCATGTAGATATGGACTAAAAATCTTTCAAAAATTAAGAGCTAGATACGCAAAGTAAAACCGTCAGCAGAATGTGAACTCTGTACACTGGATGGAATTGAATGGGAAAAGGAAAACACAGAGTTTAGTAACTAATCAGCTGGCTGGCTCTTTGAATAACAATTAATCACACAATTTCCCATGTAGATATCCTCTCTGTAAAATATATATCCTGGCGGGCTTGTTCATTAAATTTTGCATGCAAAATATGAATGCCTTCACTGCTGCATGCACATGAAGGTAGAATTTAAGAAGTTTGTTAGTCTTAAATGGCGCCAGTGTACATTTACAGGAGATCTCAGGAAAGTAAATGAATCCTTCAAATTTTAATAATGTCAGCCTTCTGCAAATCTACTTTATTAATCTGTCTGCGCACCTAAAAAGTTGATAAGAGAGATTCACTCCTAATCTATAAGTATATCAAAATTAGAGAAAAAGAAGAAAAGAAAGTAAAGGTAGAGCCCATTAATCTGTCTTATATGTAACAGTGGACTGGAGATGGAAATAAGAAATAGATTTCCTAGCAGCTGCATCTGTAAATCTGTGAAAGCTAAAGTGTTATTAGTAGTAGACGGGTATCTAGTCTAAAATATTTACTGGCTGATAATGACCATGACATAACTAGAGATGCTCCTGTCAAATCCTGACCTATCACCGCCCTATTTACTACTCCTTGCAGACACTTTGGAGCTAGCGCTCGATTTACAGAGAATACTTAACAGAATTAAGTATCAATATGTTTAGGTCAAACTAGGCCCCAATGGAGGGCCAAAGATGATGGATATCTAGAGAGGACAAAATACAGTTCACCCCATCAATTATTTGAGCCAATTACTACCCACATTCGCTTCAGAAAGCATACAAATTCGGCCACTAAAGTTTATCTTAAGAGTAGTTTTGATCTAAAAGGAAATGAAAAACTCCTCAAAAATGAGTTATTCTCTGTTACTGTCAATTTTTCATCAAATTTAGAGTGTATTGTGTTAGTTTGGGAAACTGACGGAGCAATAGTTAATTTGACAGCATAAGTTAGCCTAAGTAAAGATGTTTAAGTGGATGAGAAAGAAAGACAAAAGCTAGGTTTATCTAACTTTCTTTATTGATGGATATGCATGATCTGCATGCTTACGCTTCTCTGTTACTTAATATTCCTCTACTCTTATTTCTCAGTCTTATCTGTCTCCTTTTTTCCAGCTGGGTAGCCATTAAACCCATCACGTCTTTTCACAAAAGCAGAACATAGAGTAGACAGGATGTACTTCACCATTAATTTAATTTTTTTATTCCAGATTTTGATGTCGAATATTAGTTCAAGGATAAAGTTATTTGCACAAACGGTCCGTATAAAGAGAAGAGGGGAGTTTGTATAAAGTGAGGTGACTGATATAAGAGTTCGTTAATATGACATTAAATTACGAAAGTTTTAATACCATATAATATGTTTTATGATATATCACGTCAGTTTGTATAAAGGGTAAAAGCAGGTTGGCCATCACTGGATTTATGAAACCAACCATTTGTGATTCTTCATTCTTTCTACCTTACACTTCAGAATCAAAATCTGGAAACTCCCTTTCAAATGACTGAACGACCTCATTACTACGACAACCCATTTAAGGCTTCAATATACAGAGCCTTCCTAGAACTGCAGATTATTTCTCTTTATGTTAAACTGGTGAGAGAAATACATCTTCCAACTGTTTGCATGATAACTAATTTCAATTCCAATATACATTGTTAATTAACGAGACGGCTCCTTGGAAAGATCCTTTTTCATTTAACATGTTTGTACATTAATCCTGGGCATGAATTAGGTTTATAGGAAGCTGTACTGAGTAATAACGTTTTGAAACTTTCGCCCAGCGAACCAGAGGCCCTGGCAAAATCATAATGGCCATTGTCACTGGTTTCCTTCTAGAAAACAAATCCCTTCTGTAGAGGAGTTATACACAATTTACCTCTTGGCTCTTGCTTTGTTTATGCAAAACAATTCTACCATCTACTCTCTTTTAATCTCTCCTGATTCCCCCTGCTCTGTTTTATAGCTGCTCATTTACACAATATATTTGAATAATCTTTAAAGGATTTATGTTTTTGATATAAATGTAAAGTAATAGATAATGTAATCTACTCATTAATGCTTTACACTGTTACATCAAAAGTATTTTCCTAGAAGCACTTTACATTTTATATACATTAGCTCATTTGAACCTAGTCAAACCACTCTAGACTGTTATCATGGGTTCATGTGAACAATTAAAGAGTGCGGCCAAAATTAGGTGTGGACAGGTCCCGGTACCCGGTCCAAATCTTGATAACCGGTATCAAAACCGGAACCGGGATTTAGGTCGGACACCCCTAGTGCTAACTACACCCACTTCCACATTAACAACGGTACTCAGAAATTCAGGGTAGGACATTTGAAATGTTCTTGGGTTGGACCACCCAAGTTTAGACTTCAAGAATGGGCCTACTTCAAGTCGGCCCAATTTAAACAAAAACCTTTTCTCTCTAAATAATTCGATAAACCCTAATCGCCAAAACCCTGTGTTTCTCTGAACTTTCACTAGTCTCACCGTCTCTGTTAAACCCTAAACAAAAATGTCCCTTCTCCGTAAATTTCCCAAGAGATTTCTCAATCCCCAAACTGCCATTACCACTCGCTTTACTGCCATTACCACTCGCTTTCTCACCACCCAAAACCCCAGCCTCGACACTTTCCCAGACGTGCCCACTGTCGCTTATTACGACGATCTGGTTAACAAAGCTGGCCGAGAACGAGACCTGGAAGCCTTACGATCCCTCCTCAATAAGCGCGTGAGAGACCATTGTTTGAACACCACCAACACGTTCAAGTTCATAACTGATACTGAGAGCTCGTTGTCAATACTGGACGATCTGACTAAAACACTGGCTCGTCTTGATAACGGATATCCTCGCAAGAGCGCGTACGATTCGCTCATCGCACGTCTGTGTAGACTGAAAAAGATCGACGAGGCGTTGCGCGTGGTGCATGTAATGGCGTCGGGAGATTTTGGTTTAAACACGTGTACTTTTCACCCAATACTGAGCGCGTTGACCAGGGGGAAGAGGATGGAGAAAGCGTTGCAGGTGGTGGAGTTGATGAAAGAGATTAAAATATCGCCTGATGTGACGGCGTACAATTACTTGTTAACTGCTTACTGTTTCAAGGGAAATCTAACGGCTGCAAGTGAAGTTATGAAAAAGATCGACGAAGAGGGATTAGGTGCTGATGCGCGTACGTATGATGCGCTGGTATTAGGCGCGTGTCGGGCTGGAAAGGTGGAGGGTGCTTTTGTGTTGCTAAGGAGGATGGTGGACGATGGACAGACTGCGTTGTATTCTACGTACTCGCATATTGTTAGCTCATTGTTGAGGTTGGGCTATTATGCGCAGGCGGTGAAGTTCGTGATGGTTTGCGGAAATAAAGATGTAAAATTGGACACACAAATATATGGGGGTTTGGCCAGTAAGCTTATGGACTTGGACAGGAATGACGAGGCAATGGTTATTTTGATGGAAATGAATAAACGGGATTTACAGATGGGCCACAAGCTGAGAGATTTTTACCAAATGAATGTTACAGATAGTTGAAATATTTACTTTTTACCGCAGTAAAATTGTTATCTTTTCTGCGATTTTGCCCTATTAATTGTATTTCAAATAATTTAAATACGAGTTTATTAATTTTGGATTTTACTGTTCACGGTTTACATCCAACGGACCAAGTCAGTCCAAAAACACCTAGCTTAAAATCGTTTTTCTGTCCAACCCCGTTGCGGTTGCTGACGTCACCGGCGGTCACAATGCACGGCCATCCTTGTACTCACAGTCACAGTACCACTTCTCCCACTTGTCCCCTTCACTCCGAATTCGATTCTCTCTCTCTCTCTCTGTTGTACCACCTTAACCTATACCTACGGCGCACGTTAGCCCCGTAGTGCCCACCCCCTACCAACAAAACAAAATTACCACCACCAACGCCCGACAGCTACATAATCATCATCAACAAAAGCATGGAACCTCGTGGGTCCCAAACCAACCGGCGAGCTCACGCGTCTCCCGGCGGAGGGCGCGAAGACTGTTGGTCCGAAGGTGCGACGGAGACGCTGATCGAGGCGTGGGGAGACCGTTATGTTAAACTTAACCGTGGAAATCTCCGTCAGAAGGACTGGAAAGAAGTGGCCGAGTCCGTTAACGCCCGTCAAGACGGTGTTAAGCAGAAGAAAACGGACATCCAGTGCAAGAACCGGATCGATACGTTGAAAAAGAAGTACAAAATCGAGAAAGCCAAACCTCCGCCGTCAAAATGGCCATTTTATTACCGTCTCGATTCACTAATCGGCACTGACGCCGCCAAAAAACCAACGACCACCGTCACTTTGAGAGTTAAACCAAAGCCGAACGCATACGCTGTTGGGAGATCAAAGTCAACGGAGAGGGATTTATCGTCGAACGGTGATGATGGAGAAGAAGAAGAGGATGAGGAAGAGGATGAGGAAGATGTGGTGGTGGTAAAAAAGGTGCAGCGGATGGAGGATGTCGATTTTTCGGATGTAGCGGCATGTAGGGAATTGGCGAGGGCAATATTGAAATTTGGGGAAATCTATGAGAAAATTGAGAGTGAAAAACAAAAGCAAATGATGGAGTTGGAGAAGGAGAGAATGAAGGTTATAAAAGATATTGAGTGTGAAAGAATGAATATATTCATGGGGTCTCAATTGGAGATCCAGAAACTGAAGCAACAGAATCGCCCTGCCAGCTCATCAGGTTAATTTTACCTTAACATTTTTGGAAGTAAAATTGTTAATGAAAATTTTAATATTTCTCAGTTGTGCATTGTTTAGTTTTAGAATTATTAAACAAAATTTCTTGCTTTATTCTTAGTTTTAGAAGCTGTTTTTATACGGGTTTAAGAAATATTTTGTGATTCACTCAGAGATAGGTAGCTTCATGGATTTGTGTTTAACGAGTAGGGAGTGAAAAGGAAATGAAGCTGAGTTAATATTGGTGCAAGAGTGTTCCTAAGTTTCACCTGGGTTGAGTTCAGGCGCCGCTCAGCTCGGTGAAATGCCGAGAAGTGAACTTGGCTGAATTGTTGAACTAGAGCTGGTGTTATTTGAGGCCAGTTTTGGGAAAATCTGTGGGGTTGGTCTTGTTTCTCTACTTGTGTTCCGGTCTTAGTTCTAGTTTGTGTTCTATCTTAGTTGCTGGAAATGCTTTAATATGGTGTGTTTGTCATTAGAGTTATAATTGTAAATATTCGAAATAAGATCAGTTTTCACTTGCCTACATCCTAATGCTTGTATTTACTTCAATCATTTTGGTTCCTCCAAAATAAAATCACATTTATTATCAGTTGATTCAATGGAGGTATCAAGTTCTGAAGTATGCTCGGTATCCGGTCTCTCTAGTGCAGAGACGCATATAAATAGTTATTGGATCTTTCTCTTGCTCCATTACTGCTGCTTAAGGCTATGTTCTAGTGTTTTTAGAAGTTATTAGTGCTGCCTAAACTTGAGATTACAATACGATTAGGGTCGGATAAGGGTCTGATAAACATATTCTGTCAACATGCATATCTCTGCAGGGAAGAAAAGTCATGGCTGAGAATTGAAAACACATGAAGACTACATATGAGAAGTGAATTGCCATCTAAGTATCCATCTCTGTAAAGCTGCCCCTTTGGACTCCGTCCATCTAACAGCCGCAGTTTCTGATTTGAAGATCATTTGGCTTGTGTAGTTTCTGTGTTTGTAATGTTTATGTAAATGAATAGTTGTTTCGATACAGATTTATTGTATTTGTATATCTTTAATCTGTACGGCAATCAATGTATTATTAACCTTTTTTCATATATTATATTTCAGAGTTCTCCATCTTTAAAGTGATCAATGTATGAGGTTGGCTCTTTCGAAGGACAGATGATGATTTGCCTATTCGCCTCCTATTTAAATGATGTTTACTGCCCATGTGCGCATGATGGGAGAAATGGAGACAAATGTTTTAGTTTTTTACTGCTATCAAAGTAAATAAAATTCTGTGGAGGGTTGAGCAAGCCATTCCATTTAAGAGCAACCCATTCCATTTAAGAGCAACCCAAACTAGGACATGGGTTTTGTACTGATAGCAGTCAAGACTGAGCACTGATAGCTACTTCATATTTCTTGGGACATTTGCCGACTATGAATTTAATGAATTTCAGTGCATCTAATTTTATCTACTCATTCATTAGAGGCTACAGCCCACCCATCCCTTGTAATTCCATGAAAATTAATACCCTTTTGAAACTTGGAAAGACAACTTTTATGGCTTCTGTCACTTCACCGATTGCAAGAAAAACAAGACTGGGAACAGAGGAAAATTACTATAATCATGATTCATGTTTAGAGGAATTTGACAAAGCTTTGTAACAACTGCACGTGATCTCTTGCCGGGTTTATACAGGAATAAGAGTACCTGAAAATCAATCCATTAGTGTTGTGTTGCCAACATTTTGGAAGTACAAAGTTTGAGACTCTGTGTTGTTTCTTAAAGTAAACACCATGAAGTTGATCAATTTAATAGAAAATATGCTAGAATCCCCATCTGGGTTCTCCTCTATATCACAGTTATTGAGAGAATTCTATAGATGGAGAGGTCAACTTTTTCAAGTTATTAATCAAAAGAGAGACAGAGAATGAGAGAAAAAAGAGAAGAAAAATTGATTATATATATGGGATTTGGCTTAGATCATACATGTTTCCAACCCGGTTGAGTTCCAAAGAATTCTGGGTGAAACTCTCCATCATTCCACCGTAAGCATCAAAGTTATTGAAATTAGGAAGCATGGAGGAAAATGGATCATTATTCTGAAAGGTACAAGAAGAAGAAGAAGAAGAAGAAGCAGCCACCGTATAGCGGGCGAGGCGAGCTCTTGCAATTGCCAAATCCTGTTGAAGCTCAATCATCCTTCTTTGCAGCAAAGCGATGGCGCCAATGCAACCATAAACAGGGTCTCTGAGCCTTGCCTCAGCCTCATATGCTAGTGAATTCACCGTGTCCTCTCGTTGCTCTTCAGGCACTTCAGTCAGGATCTTGCTCACATTACTTGCACCAAACACCTTATGAACTTTTGCAAATTTTTTGGGCTCATCGGATCGAAAATAAGGAGCGAAAATACAAGTGGTAGTGCATTTTCTTTTCAATAACTTGCAGGCCGCACAAGATGAACTTGAACGTGGCTCATGTCCCCTCATGGCTTCATACCACATCCAATTTTTCTAATGTTATGTCCCTCACTTACCCACAATATAAATAGCCGAGTGGGTAAGCCTAAAAGTTGGTGGAGGAAGACGATAAAATCCTTTACTTAAGCTAAATCTTTTAGACCCATTGGTTAGAACGTCGTTATAATAACGAAAAGGTCTCGGGTTCGAGACCTGCACGTGCCATGTTTTGTGTTTTTCTTTTCTTGTTTTGAAGCTTTCTAATCGGACTTCTCATAATAATTTAAATAAAAAAATACATATATTTTGTATTTACATCAAAAAAATCACCCAAAAAAGTGAAGAAAGTTGGCTTTATCCATAAGGAAGAAAAACCTGGGGGGTGAATGATAAGGACTCTACATAGTGGAGCCCAAAAATATATTGGGGGAAAGATATTGGAAAGTAATTTTATGATGAAATTTCTTGTCATATTGAATGGGTAAAAAATTTCTCCAATCAACAAAGAATCTAAGGATAAGGTTTGTCATAAATGAGGTTCAGGTGCTCAAAGCAGCTTGTTTAAAAAAAGAATATAGAATAATTATATTATCTTCTTAGTTAAACTCAGAATGTGACAATTATAAGCTTCAATTATGTTGAAATTTGATTGATGTTATAGTCGTTAGCTCTTGCACTATCAGGGGACTATTGATAAAAATGTGGAGACTATTTAGATGGCGTATATTCACAATAACAAACACATTGGTAGCATCAACCATTTCACCAAAAATATTAGTCTTTCTTCCTTGGAAAATAGAAGAAATTAATCTTTTTTTTTAAGTTTGGGGTTGGGCCAGTTTGTATGTACCTAACTAATCTCCAGAGTTCATAAACACAAACAAGCTCAAAAGACTAATAAACCATAATTTTTTATGGTAGGTGATTTAGATTTGAATCCAGAAACTAAGGAAAGAAGTAAATCTCTTTTACCGTCAAGTAATTGAGTAAAATCTAATTTACAAATGAAAGTATATATATATATATATAGATATAAAACGTTGGACATAAAGGTATTTTTGTTTATGATTTATCCATGGGATCATGACGATAAATTATTATGGGATAACTTTTATTGAATATAATTGATATGCATAAATTGACTCGATACTGTAATAGTATTAATAAAAAAATACGGTAATTATATTTTAATTTAATCTCAAACTTTCTCTTAAAATTTTGATATAATAATTGTAATTAATCAATTCGTAAATAAGTTTTACATGTTTGCTATAAACTTTATATCTAATTGTTGAATTGTTATATCGAGAAAAAAATATATTATATATAATATCAAAATCAAAATAAAAGAGGTAGAATTGTCACTTCAAAAGGGCCAAAGTTGAAAATGATATAATGCTCCTCACAAAGAGCCCACTTGTTAAATGCACGTCGTTTTCCCAAAACACACAAAAGCCAACAAAAAGTAAGCCAGGCTTAAACTGCATCACACGTGCCATCATGATGTACAATCAGAGACGAGATCAGACGGTGGGTCCTGAATTTGAACGGACCGTGTCTTACACACGCCGATAATATGTTCTTGTATAGAAGGGAATATGGGCCGGGCCCAAGAAGTATGATTAGGAGTGATAGGCGTTCCCACTTTTGTTTTGATATTTTTGATCATAATAATTATTATAATGTTTTCGTGTGTGGTGTTAGATATACACGCGCACAGTGCGGGGGTGTAGCTTGACTTTGTTGTTGCTCCTCCATTATATTTTGCACTTTGATTAAAGCTACATGCACTTTTCGATCTTTGACTTTGTAGGGGCCAACTTGACGGAGAGAGAGAAAGGCATCCAGATGGGCCTAATCATGGGCCTTGAATTTGTTGCGTAGTGGTGAAATCTAGAGTTTTATTATTATTATTATTATTATCATGTTATTCCACACGTATCTCAATTAATCTATGTAGTCTATTAAATACTCTATAAGTTTAAAAAAATAATATAGTTATCGAAAAGAGCATACCGAATTCATACATCAAATGAAATAACAGAATCCTGATCATCAATTAATTATGAATTAATATTGATCGACGGTCAAAATTACGTCACGTTATTTGGTGCACTCCTTTCGGTAACTGTAGCATTACTCTAAGTTTAATGGGTCAAGTAAGTTATAAATGTGATTGACATTTCAACTAATTCCTAAGGTTTATTGAATACCCTATAAGCCCAGTTTGTTGCTCAGTGGTGAAATTTAGAGTGATTTTTTTTTTTTTTTAATAATCGGAGTGTTTGGGCCAATCTGACTGTTTGAATGCACTTCAACTAATCTTCGGTATCCATTGAACACTTTACAAGCTCAATGAGTCAGATAAATCACAAACGTGGCTAACACCTTAACTAATCATCAGAGTCTATTAAATACCCTATAAGTCCAATGGGTTACGTAAGTCACAAATGTAATAGGTAATAGACCACTTTATAGAACTCAAATATAAGACTTATGGGTAATCCATCCAGATAACTGAAGTCTTGTCATCTGACCACAAGGATAGTGGTTTCTTTGATTTAATATCAGTAAATATTGTTAAAAATTCAATTCCATTTCATGTTATTATCATCGATTTTATATAATTTTCACTTTAATGTTTCTAAAGTTAAAACTCCATCTAATAGTAATTGAATTTTCTTTTTAAGTAGTTATATTACAAGATGAAGTGGGAAAAGAGTTAAGAATACAAATTGGGCAAAAACAATAGGTGATTATCTTAATTCTCTGGATAAGGTATATTACATTTTTCGCCATTATTGAAATTTCTCAACTGTTAACTGTAGCAAGGCAAGAGGAGAATCTCTTATTGGAGAAGACATCTAGACATTTGAAAAGTATAAACTTAGTTTAGTGGGTCAGGAAAGTGCTAATCAGATGTAAAGGTCACAATTCACGGCAATTGGCAAAGCATGTGGAAAAGGGCCCTTGCTCATAGTCGAATTGTCTTGTCATGTTAAGCAGTAATATGATTTTGTGGTTCTCACCATAATCTTTGAGTTTGGTTTAGTGGGAGAGATGAATTTTGATGGTTCATCAATTGAAATTTTGAACCATCCTTTTCATATTTCAATGCCTTGTCTCAACAACATCATCAAAGTACAAAGTTTCATGTGATTTTATCATGCTACTTGTATTATTTGGGGGCCACCCCCAGAATTTACAAGTAAATTTACCTACATCAAAATATATAGACAAGGTTCTAAAGGTTAATGGAGATGTAATCCTATTTTCTTAAACTACAACCTTAGTTTACGGTTCAAAATGAATAAGCCCTGAAGTTAAAAACAGGATAAATCACTTCAGAGCAACTTAGGTGGATCGAACTCAAAATCACTTAAAAAATAAACCTAAGAATCTTAGTTGACAGCAAGACTACAAAATGGTGGTTACTTGGTAACTAACCTTCGGCAAAAAAGAAAGATGGCCCATCTAACCAACACTTGCTACATCATGCTCAAGTACAAGCAATGAGTGAGCCAAAGAGAGGACAGATTAAGCCTATTTGATTTGGTCTTGTTGTGTTTTATGTGTATAAAATATTGAAACCCAAATGTTTCTATAAATAAATAACTTCTGTTGTCTCGTTTTTATTGTCTTGTTATACAATAGCTGAACAAATTGACCTATATTCTACTGTAGTTTATGCAATACAATATTGCACATAATCCAACTGCTAACTTCCAAAAGTTCATTTAGCCAAAGTCAAACAAAAGGGCATTGAGGCTCGGGGAGTTGTTTACGTTGTTGGGAGTGAGGGGTAACATAATAACATTACCCACCAGCTGAACCATTGGATCCAATGGTCCAGCAAGCTTACTACAGCAGCATTTGACCATTGATTATAGAAGATCAAAATGATGGGAATGCAGAGATGAGTTTAGTCCAGCTAGGTGTGATGTGAGATAATAAAGAGACAGATTAATAGTTTTAATGAATATGATCAAGACCCTGATCAAACGCAGAAATGAAATGAATCTGCTGAGGTCAACCCTTCTTAATTTTCATAAAAACAATGCTTAAAATTTTAAATCTAAGAATGTTGAAAATAACTATCTAGAGAAAGAACTGAACAAAATGTTATAGTCAAGCAATAAAAAACATTTACAAATCACAGACTGCAGCTATCAAACCAGCTATCGAACCCGTTACAATGCGACAGAAAAAGAATGGAAATTTACTAAGCATGTAGAGGTTATACAGACCAGAGATGATGTGAAATGTTTAGAAATGCTGACTTTTGATGATCATAAGGATTAAAATGAAATTTCCAGAAATTTGCAGCACTGTACATGGAGGAAACGTCAAGTTGCCTACTCAGAAATTTATTATAAATATATTTAAGTTCTGACCATTCATATATCAGACTCCTTAACGAGGAATTCTAACTATGGACATTAATATTTGCTAATCTACTAAAATAGGTCGAATTCAACAGTTTGACAAGACTCATTCAATATTTAATTTGAATATACAATTGGCGGGGAATATAACTAAGTAACTAACCCACCAAAGCCGGAAATTCCTCCAAATGGCAGCATTCCCAGAAGTTCTTCTCCCCTCCTACCAGCTTTGCTATTGTCTTTTACGTTTACTGTACAAACAGAAACAGTCAAAATCCATGGAGCTTTTAAAATGATTTTTTTTTTTCTTTTTGGTAAATATCCTATGTTAAAATAATAGAAAAGAAAGAAAATTTTTGCTCAAGTAATCTAAACCCTAACAAACTGTGATAATAACAATGAAGAGAAACTGACTTCCAAAGTGAGAAATAATGGATGTGTCACTTCCTCCTTTCATGGCGTCCTCAGGCTTACTGCCAACTGGGACTTTGCTGGAATCTTTGATTCATATATCCAATGAAGTTGCTTCAATGGAAAAGCTTCCTTGCATACAGGTTAGGAATGTTTCAACAATGATAAGGAGGATAAAACTTCTTTCTTCTCTGTTTGAAGAAATTCAAGAAACCAATAGTCCTCTTCGTCCATCTTCAATCCTGTGCCTCACCGAGCTCTTTTCAGTGATTCGAAGAGTTAAGTTCTTGATTCAAGCGTGCAAGGATGGTAGTTGTCTTTGGGGCCTAATACAGACAGGGTTTGTTTCCAATCAGTTTTATGCATTGGTGAAGGAGATGGGAAGAGCACTTGATATTTTACCCCTCAGTTTGCTTAATATAACCGCAGACATTAGAGAGCAAGTTGAGCTTCTTCACAAGCAAGCAAAGAGGGTAGAGTTGTTTCTGGATGCTAAAGAGCTTCAAAGACGAGAGGATCTTCTGCAAGTAATGGCCTCTAATAATGAGAGGAACACCAAATACAAGGGCTTCATTGATATTGACAAATTGGAAGAAGTTTTAAGTAGCATTGGCTTGAGAAGTCCATTGGATTATGAAGAAGAAATTTCAAAACTAGAGGCAGAAGCGCAAAAGCAGGCAGGAACAGGTGGGCTAATTGTGGTCTCCAACATAAACAATCTCATATCCCTTGTTTCATATTCAAAATCAATGATTTTGAGTAGCCAAGAAAATGAGAAGGCCAAAGAAGACATCAAGCAGCGCTCTGCTTCGAGCAGAGATCTTGATCAGTTCTTGACTTCTCAATCACTGGTTCCTATTCCTGACGAATTTCGATGTCCAATAACACTTGACTTGATGAGAGACCCAGTGATTGTAGCCTCTGGGCATACTTATGATCGGAATTCAATTTCTCAATGGATAAATTCTGGGCATCACACTTGTCCTAAAAGTGGGCAAACGCTAATTCACATGGCTCTCATACCCAATTATGCACTAAAGAGTCTAGTGCATCAATGGTGCCAGGAGAATAATATTCCAGTAATAGAATGTGCATCCTCATCCTCCTCGGACTTGGAGAGATGCAACAGCAAGAGGAAGTTTGAGAATGCTGTTGATCACATTTCTGCCACCAAAGTTGCCATGGATGCTGTCAAAATGACAGCTGAGTTTTTGGTGGGAAAACTAGCAATGGGTTCCCCGAACATTCAGAGGCAAGCTGCTTATGAGCTGCGGTTACTTGCAAAAACCGGTATGGACAATAGAAGGATAATTGCTGAGGCAGGAGCTATTCCATTCCTCGTAACGCTATTAAATTCCCATGATCCAAGAATTCAAGAAAATGCTGTCACTGCCTTACTCAACCTCTCAATTTTCGACAACAATAAGATTTTAATAGTGGCAGCTGGAGCAATGGACAACATAATAGATGTTCTGGAATCAGGAAAAACCATGGAGGCAAGGGAGAATGCAGCTGCAGCCATATTTAGCCTGTCAATAATTGATGATTTCAAGGCATCAATTGGAGCACATGCTAAAGCAGTTCCAGCCTTACTTGGGCTCCTGAGAGAAGGCACAGCAGCTGGAAAAAGAGATGCTGCAACTGCACTATCCAACCTAGCAGTCTATAATCCTAACAAGGCTACTGTTATAGTGGCCGGGGCAGTTCCTCTGCTCATTGACCTGTTAATGGATGACAAGGCAGGTATAACAGATGAAGCCTTGGGGATACTAGCTTCACTTCTTGGTTGCTCTCAAGGGCTGCAGGAGATAAGGAAAAGCAGAGTTCTGGTTCCTCTTCTTATTGACCTCCTAAGATTTGGATCTGCCGAAGGCAAGGAGAACTCAATAACTCTCCTGCTGGGACTGTGCAAGGATGGAGGAGAAGAGGTAGCAAGACGTTTGTTAATAAATCCTCGGAGTATACCTTCTCTGCAAAGCCTGGCTGCTGCTGGGTCTCTGAAAGCTCGCAGAAAGGCTGATGCACTCCTCAGATTACTCAACCGATGCTGCTCTCAATCTCACAATCCTGTAGGATAACAGTATCAGAAAACTCAGATTCCAGAAGTGTATATTTGTGGATCTTTCAAACTTCATACGAGTGTTGATTTGTTCTGTAATTGAGACTCACGCGTTACTGCTTCATTTAATGAATTCATCCATATTTTACAATGTCATTTTGAGGTTCGAGCTCATGCTAAAACTAAAAATAAAAACATGCCCAACTAAGGAAAAAATCTCTGGATCTCCACCTCTGCCCAAAAGCATCATTACAAAGCAGTTAACTGAAGCAAATTTTGTGTTCAGACTGCTTCATCCATATAAAATTGTATTCAAAATGTGAATCAAACAACTCAGATCAATTGGTAAAACGTCATTCCAGATAACAAGTCCACTGGCTTATGGTTCACAATACAGTACAGTAGAGTAGCTTATGATTACCAAAACAATCTAATAAGAAGATAATCAAAAAAGCCATATGAAGTCATGCAGTTGCCCAATTCAGTTCCCAGCAAATAAGCCTTTATTTTGTCACAGGATCTTCACTAATCTGTAGTCAGAGATACTTCACCCTGAGAAGGAAGGAGGAAAAAAAGGGTCACACAAACACAACCATAAATAAAATAAACCAAATCCATATTTCTCTTACCAGTTGACTTCCCCAGAAGAGTTGTTAGACAAGATTTACCTTTTTCCAGACTATCTTGATAGATACATGCAAGCAAATAAATATTAATGAAAAGGAAAGAGAGAAAGAGAGGGATGAGACATTTAATCTTCAT